CGGACCTAGGAGTTAGTTCCCAAGGAGATTTTACATCAGGCAGACGGCCGTTAGTTAAAAAACCTAACCAATAGCATTACCAACATATTGTGCCGACCCCACCCCACGGGCTAAAGGCAGTGAGATACAATGTTAATGTCAAGTACTCTTTTCACGAAATTTTCATCGATCGAAAAACGCTAGTTGTCTTTTAATGAGATTTATACATTACATTTACATATACATAAAGCGATCAACGCAATGAATACACTTCACACTCTATTTGATTCTTCGAAAGAATACATAGATCTCTTGACATTGCTTTGTCCGTACATGGATCGTTGTTCGTTTAAAAAAAATTCAGATGTACTATTTTTTTATTAATGTACGGTGGGACCACGCAGCAGCCACCGCACAGAAGACCAGCGTAAAGTGGAAGTATCATACTTTCGCGTTTCGTCTGGTGAGTGAGGTGGCCCGGAGCCCAATTTTCAAAAGTTTGTCAACACATCTGGAAACCTCGGGTGTAGCAGATGTCCATAGGCGGCGGTATTCATTTAACATCAGGTGAACCGTCTGCTCGCATGCAACTTTTGTCATAAAAAAAAGAAAATAAAATAAAATCTATGAAATAGTTTCATTTAACTAAGTCCGATGGAAATAAGAATGTGAATTTGTTGAACATTAATTTGTGGTGGTCTCAACGCTTCTCCGGCTTTTACTAGTGTCACGCTTCAGATGCCACGGCATTTTTACGGCGTCGCTATTATGTTTCGGTTCAATGGAGTGGACATTTTGTTTCGTCGGATTAACGCGACGCTTTCTCATCGATGCAGCGTGCAGATGGGGCACTAAAGTGTAATTTTCTCGGTTCTCATGATAGTTTAAGGTTTGAAAATAAAGTTCAAATTCGTGTGGGATCCATTTCGAGGTATTCATCTGCATCTAAATCGATGCTTGCAGCCTTTTTTGTTTTTTTTTGTATCGATGGAGAAAACTACAAAATATACACTGGCAGTTGTGGAAAAACAGGGTATGTGGGAACATAGATCCGTAATTAGTGGGTGCTAAAAACCCCTCTGTGGCCTTCTAGCGAACGCGCCGGTGCCCATCGGGACTGCACATGAGTACGCCTCGGAGAACTTTCTCTGATTCACTCAAGGTCTTGCGGCACGAGGCTACTTCAAGTAGCACGATCGCCCCCGAACCGATTCCTCTTTAACACACCTTTAACCACGCAGTGGATATCTTAGCCCTACTCTTAAAGTCTGTCATTACATGGCTTGATTCTTGCAGCCTGCTTGCGTTCCAGCGGAAATTGAAGAAAAGATAGTAGACCCAAATCAGTGACGTCATCCTCAATATGTCCCACAGCCGATCAAGTCTATAATGCACTAACCGTATCAAGACAATCCCCACGCATCGCCATTGCAGATTAATGATACTTCACATACATGATTTTTTCTTAACAACATTTCACATCACCGCCGGTCAAGTATTCAATTAGTAACACATACGAGTATAATTGCAAGAGACAAAGGTCCGAGTCATATATTCTGATTCAATAAGGCGGCTGGTGACGAGAGCTGGTTCTTTTCTCGCTTAAAGGTTAAGCATAACTATTCAGCTAGGAAACGCAACTAGCCTTTTTGGCACCATGCCCCTAGGTTGACGATTTATTAGATAACTAGCTTGTACCCGCGGCTTTGCTCGGGTTGAACCCCTTTAAAAATATATATTATTAATAAAAATAAACCTGTCCTTTTTAATACCTCCAAGAATATGTGTACACTACCCACTACGCCATTCGGGTCGTCAGTAGGTAGGTATAAGTAATTTACAGATTTAATGGTGTCAATGTTGGATAAATAAATTGCATATCATTTCATTTAAAATGTCATGTGATTTAAAAAATAACTCGCCAGTTAAGATATTTGACAAGTTTTCTGCATAATTTAGATAAATATAATATAGAGTATTTACTCGAATCTCTATAAATTATAAATCTCAAGAGGTTTTTCGTCGGAACGCCGAAACTTCCTTCTTCATCAAATTTAATGATTTAAATCCATTTTGAAGCTAAGGTTTGCCAATAGTGACGAAAAATAGACAATTTGAATAAAATGAATGTTTTCATAAGAAACTGCTTATGAAGCCTGTATGATAAAACACCTATTGGCGAATTGTTTAAATAATAGAAAGACAAGTAGACTAAATTTCGTCAAAAATAAAAGTGAGATACATTTGGTTAATTAAAAATTCGTTGATGCTTATTTGCACACTGCCACTTGCAAAATGTCCCAGAGGTTAACTTGTATAACATATTGCTGATTATAATTATTTTAAGCAGATTGTCGCGTTTAGTTTAATTTAAAATTCTCAAAGTTTCAAACATTTTACAGTATCAACGACAACAAGATAGATGGTCACAGTCAAGTGAGCAAAATGGTGAAAGATAATAATATAAATAAAATAAGCTGTACAAATGTTTAACGTATGGTCGATACATACGATGTAAGGTCTGCAGTTGCTGTACGAATGCCTTTACCTTATGTGGGTTGGTAATTGCTCGAACAGATCTATTATGCCACTGAAAATAAAAAAAAAACATAATAAGACTAAAACACTTAGGAGTGAGATTTTTTATCAGATATTTTTTTCTATATCGGTAACTGGCTTGGTCTTTCATTTCGATACCGAGTCATAACAATAGTTGTTATCATCACATCCAGGGTATAATATATTTGCTTATTGGTATTTACGACATAGAGAAATTATTTATAAATAGACTGCTAATGCTCTAAATTTTAAGTCAGTTATGCACCTTAATAATATGCACCTTTCTCTCGACTAGGGAACAGTACCCCTGAGTATTTGAATTGAAATTCAAGAATCTAAAGCCACACCAAGAAGATAAATATGTAGAATGCTCAAAACGAAAGAATTAGACGTATGGAAATTGGCGATATTTAAACGACGAAATCGTCTCTATACCTTATAAGTATAAGTAAAGTCCCTGGAAATTGTTCTACTTCGTAAACTTACAGATACATAATCGATAAATTATATTTTTTTAAATATATAAAAAAATAAACACAATGTTAATAAACACATAATGTATTTGTAAATTTATTTTAATTAAGAAATGTATAATTAGATGATAGATTCAAAATCAATAAAAACATCTTATTTTTGCTTGCTTTAAGCTGTCTCGTAAAAGAATATCGATCGCCGTAGAAGGTTAACACAACCGAATATAACGTCCTTGCACAAAAATACATCAAATATGTAGGATTTTCCGGAGCTGCCTCGAAGAATCTAGAGAACTGTTCTGGCAGTGAACGTCCAAATCGTGTAATCAAGGTTCTTTGTTCATATACTTAGCGGTACAGTATGAATTATTCAATAAACACATATTAATAAGTATTGATCTTTCAAATTTCGAGGATTTTCCACAAAAAAAGAGCTTCGGCGATAATTTTACTACATCGCCCGCAGATATGAAATAAATCATTTCCTATTGTCATCTGATTGTAATCTGATCACCAGTCAAAATATAGTAAATACTATTTATCGTTATTTATTTTAAATTGAGGAGAGAAACGATAAATATTTTTATAGAAGATAAAAAAAAGCATTTTTGATACAATGTCATGACAACTTGTTTATAAATACGACATTTAAAATTAGATCAGATTTTAAATAATATTTTTTAATCGAGAAAATATACTCGGTACTGTGTCAGGTGGTTAATATATTTGGTAGGCCTTAAGGTAAAAAACTGCTGAACTCAGAAATGTCTGTAAGCTATCTTTTTTTATATCGGTAACTGGCTATATTAAGTTATATTTATTTAAATTTAAATAAATGGTGCAAATAAATAGCTCTCTGAGTGCAGCCGTTACCCTTTCAATATACAAACTTAGGCCAATGCAATACACATTAAATTGCTTTTACAAGTAATGTCATTTGCGAAACAATTTGTCAAACTTTTTTACAACCCTAAATTATAATTAAAATATATAATTTCAGGTAAAGGGAGCTGGTTAATTTGTATTCATATTTCTGTATTTACTATGGAATTATTTTAAAGTTTTACACAATAACTTGGCACGAACCTATTATTGCTAAACGGTTCTAAAAGTTTAATGTGCTTAAAATATACTATAAAAAGTCAATAAGAATTGTCTAACCTCTGACAAAATCTTACTTCAATCTTAAGTAATCATGTGTTGTATCCTTTTTAAATACTTAGTGTTTAAAAAGGGTCAAGGTCGTACATAATGCTTAGTAGGGTCACGTAATGCATTTTATTTTGGTATGCAGGTCAGGTTAAAGGCTGTTTTAACGAAAAACGAACGTAAATGCTCCTCCAAACACTGCTCATGAACACATCGAAACCACAATAGTTGTTGTTGTTTTAACTTTAACTTGAATGTCACATATATTTTTTATAAATAAATTCTTACGTCCTATTCGGCGTCACCGGGTTTAATCATTGTTTTTTACTATCTACATTCTGAGTATGTAATTTATGCACTCTAATTACTCACGGAATATTTGCATTAATTTGATAATTTATTAAAAATTTAAATAAAAGTTGCATCCATCATTTTTTTACTAAATGAAGCCTTTATAAAAATTTTGTAAAATTAGAAATTGTCTTTTTAAATTCGGACGCTAGAATACTGGCCAAATAATAGATGCGATAAAAAAAAATCGATTAAGCCAGGACCCGAACGCGCAACAATGTCTGTTGGCTGTTCACGTTTCGAATCAAATGAAAGGGAGCAGGAGCGAGAGGGCGCCTGGTGCTCCATACAGCTTTTATATAAAAGAAGCGTGCCATTTCGCAATCATTCCAACTTGGAATCTCGCCGCGGTCCTACCGGGGAGCACGCGAGAGCCGCATCCAATTCGCGCGCAAAGTGACAGATCTTATAGAACGACGCAGTTTTATTTCTATATTATAATTTTTTTATTAATAGATTATAAATTCTTAGTAAATTTACGCGTTCAATATGGCTGTTACAAGTGCACGGAGCATTGTGAATATGAAGGAGAAGGGCCACTTCGAGCATGACAATGCGAGGATTGATAAATACACGGTAAATATTATTTGTAATAAATTTTATGCAATGTTAACTAATTTAATTTTAATTTAATGTGCAGTAAATGAGCCGTATTCTGCCACAAAAATTGTTTTAAGGCGTACATTTACCACGCAACACAAAAACATAAACAAAGTGTCAATGACCTTTGGCCGATTTTTTGAGATAGTGAATTAATTTAAAATTGTCGGATTAACCGATCGATTAAATTCATGGCCTCTAATTATCATTATTTAGTATCGTAGGTAATGTAAATGTGAACAAAATGAAAGGTACGGGATACACGACAATATTCGAACAGTACCGAGCAAAAATACTTATATGAAATGACTTTCTCATTCCACATTGTTAATTTATGATCACTTAGGATCATTCATTGCATGTCCATGACAAATAAAATTTTCGTCTACCTACGATTAACGATAAATCGAGTAGGAACGGTGTACATTAACGTAAATACAAAAATAATACGTCAATAAAACAATAATCAACGGTTCAATAAGACAACGTTTAAGGTTTACGAAAACTTTCCTCTTTAAATTTTGGCCAGAAAATTGCCTGAAGTGTCACATACTAAGCGTAAATATTGCGAAACGGAAACAATAACGTGTATTTTGTGTGAAACATATTTTTAAAATACCCAGGTGATAATGAGTTCATTTAAGTTGTTCGTAGTTAACAAAGAGCATGTATAATATTCGGCACTAGCTTTTTCCCGTGAAACGAATTAGAGAGAAAACTTTAAATGTCATGTTTTAATTAGTACTATATATAATTAATACCTATATCGTAAAAATATAGCCAGATATATATACATGTAACTTTCAAGAAAATCAAAAAAAAATCCTTGCCTCCGAGCCTTTAACTTTGAATATCTTTCTTCCTATTTGCAAGAATCCACGCATAGAAAAATTCTAAAATCGGTCATGTACGGCTAGGCCGGATAAATAGCAGTTAGTATTATCCAAAAAAATAATTCCACTTGTACAAAATAATAAAGACACCTGAAAAGGTCTGTTAAGTACGGTCAAACCCCCAGAAAAATGTAAGTTTGAGAAGAAAGTGTCTATTATTATCTTCATAAATTTAACACTACCGTAGAGCTAACTAAATAGTGATTGCTAAAACGGCTCCGTGCGTCCGTTATTATAAATAAAAATCACTAAGTATCGATCGATACCGACATTTTGGGCAACAACAATATGTAAAGACTTACTTCGGTCAGCGCTTTCGTAATGCAGAGTATATTTGGTGTTAAAAGTCGTAGTACTGGAATCGCGTTACGAAATTAAAAGTACCTATAAGAATATTTCGTAACTTTATAAATAACTGCGGTTTATTCACAACCATTTATTACCGTGCCTTCCTTGATATAATTCGTGATCAACTTTATTAAAAGTAGCACGAAACCAGTTCGATTCGAGTCTTTGTCAACGCAGTCTAAAAAGGGAACGAAAATTACTTTAGTTCTGCACTTTTGGCGATAAATAATTTTGTCAACAAAAGCTAAGAACTTAAACTCTTTTCTTGTTTCTATTATACATGTTTAAGATTATGATGCTAATTTATCACCACTTATTTGCATTATTATTTGCAAAATGACAAATCAATAAATAATGCCGTTAAATAAGTAGTAAAATATCTTATCATTGTGATAGTTAACAAATAATGGGCATAACATGATAACATGTCAGATAAGCATAAACTTAACTAAGCATTTACAAACATACATAATTATGTCTTCATATTAATCGATCATGTGAGTATACTTATATTAAATATAACTGAACGTAATACCTATCTTTGTAGGTAATTGAAATAACTAATCACATATCCATTTATCTTAAATTAAAAAGTAAAAGAAAAGTAAAGTAACAGCCTATTCATGTCCCACTGCTGGGCAAAGGCCTCCTCTATACAGACGGTAGCAGGGCATAGTCCACCACGATTGGCATACTTCACATATCTTCGAATATATATATATATATTATGTTTTATTATTTCGAAAATATGAAGGTTTCCTCCCGATGTTTCCTTCAACAGTGAGCACGTGATAATTCAGCACCTTAAGTTAAAAACTTCATTGGTGCCGGCACCGGGGATCGAACTCAGGTTGCTCGAGTATATTGAATTAAAGGCGAGCGCCCGGACACTGAGCTATCACGGCTCTTATCTTATCTTAATTAGCCGATAGTTTTTAAATCTTATAAAATCATACAATATGCCAGTAAAGTACATACATGTCTAAAGATGTATGAACATAATTCAAATATTATTTTCATGTCGAATTTTTTATAATCCGTATGTAATACAAACTTTATAGCTTGCTTTTTTACGAAAGAATATATTTTTATGTGATACATTTCTAAGACTCTAGTATATTGGTGTGAACTGACAAATTAAATGTAAAAATCCATCCAGCCTGGTAATGTCCAATAAGCTGTAAAATAAAATTAATAATAATGCTATGTACATGCGTAATATGTGTTAATATTAAGCATCTCCTGTTTATTTATTCAAACGTCCAACCACATAAATACAGTATTAAGACATGTCCGATTGTCATCTACTATCGTGAAAAGTTTTTTCTTTTGCATCATAAACAAATTTCTTTACTATTTTTACAACATTTAATTTATTCTATTTTATTCAATCGGTGATATTCACGCCAAAAGATAATTTAGTCTGTTGATACTCACTGTGTTCTTAAACAATGTTATCTTCACGATATGTGAAGTTATTTAAAATCAAGTATGAAGTTTTTCAAATGGTTTATATTGCCACTAGCGCCTGAAGTAATTGAAGCGGTCAGTGGACCGTAAAGTTGATTAAAATCAGCTGATTGTTTAAAATAAGTATGTTTGTAGGCAGTTAAGTTGTACGCATAATTTATAATTACACGTAATTTATACAGATATAAAAAGCGGACATCAGCCCTATTGCAAGAAAAAATCTTTTAGTGCTGTAAACAATTTTTCAAAGTCCTAAAAAAATTACAAAACTCGAAATATAATGTCACAAGGGAAATGGTGTAAAATAAAAAGATAAATCAAATGAAACAATAATCTTAAAACACATTTTGTCAAGAAAGTAACAGCCTATAAGTGTCCCACTGTTGGGCAGAGCCCTTCTCTGTACATAGGGTGTTAGTTAGGGCATGGTCCACGACGTAACCCCCTGTGGATTGATGGACTACACTTCGAATTTCATTGGTGCCGGCACCGGGGGTCTAACTAAGGTTTCTCGAGTGTATTGAATTAAAACCGAGCGCCCGGACAATGAACTATCATAGCTTTTTATGCTTTATAAGATCACTGCGGTAATTAATCGGTATCGGGGCATTAGGATACGAAATATTTGTATATTTTTTTCCAAATTGTTACACCATTAGTGTACAACGCAAATTTCAAATTGGCCAAGTTAAACCAACACAGACGTGTGAAAAGAAATCATATCACAAACGTATCAATGGGCTATCGATATAAAATTACGTATAGGCGATTGTCTAAACTATGTCTGCGCATTTAGTTCAGTCGACCTCGGTATAGGCAATCGAGTTCGTGATCATACACAGAGAGATCTACAAATCAAATCTAGATATAAATATCCGTCTGTAGTGGAGGCCGAAGGTAATCAGGGTATCGAAATTAGGAGCAAAATAAGAATAAGAAAGGGTATCCTCGCCTTATAAAGTATACTGATCTAAAAGTTGTTAAAACTGATATATAGATAATTCACCTTTCCACGTGCTGTGTACAACATATCATATAACTTTACTGCATATACTACAGCTGAAGCAGTCAGTATCTGACATTATATATGTTTGAATCTTGGTTCACGATGTATCATTTTCTGGATGAATCCACTGGATTTGGATTATATTATTATGCATGACTTATTAGTCCCAATTTCCATTGTCTCTTTAAACTAAATTGTGACAAATAAAGTAATGTAAATAATAAAACTTTAAAAACATTTTATAACTTTCACAAACCGAAGCCCAGTGCACCTAAAATAAGGTTTTTTGCTGAATGCAATATTAAGGTAATTTACATTCACTACATAGTATAAAACAAAGTCGTCCCCCTGTCTGTCTGTTCCTATATATGCTTAGATCTTTAAATCTACGCAACGGATTTTGATGCGGTTTTCTATAATAGATAGAGTGATTCATAATATAGTAGAGAAACACTGATAATTTTAGAGATTTCTAATGCGATGTCGAAAACAAACATTCAGCATGGCACCCGTGCGAAGCCGAGAAGGTCGCTAGTAATTTAATAATCTTACTTCGTGCCAGTCTATGGGGGAAGCCTTGGTTTAGTAGTGGACTCAAACAGGCTGACATGATGATGACAAATGTGACGCTTAATTTTGAAATATGCTCTAATGAACTCAAATGAACAAAAGCCTACTACTGGCAAACATCTCAGTCTTCTGGTAGCACCAATTTGATCATATCGATAATAACAATTTGAAATGTGAGAATCTTTTCAAAACAATACAGTCCCCCTGCGCTTTGTCCGGATTAGGACAAGGGACCCACCCTTGGGGTCAGTTGCAAAACTCAAAGCTGGCCTTCTTTTTCTTCGACCAAACAATGCATTTGCATCGCGTCCAGCCACAACGCATTTTATAAGCAACCACTGCCGATTGGCGTGCATCACAATAATTGAACTATCAAACGGACGTTCTTACCGAACTCGATATAAGTGGGTCAGGGAACGAGATGAGTTCGCTCCATGAGTTAATCGTAAACAACGTGCCGCTGCTAGACAATTCTTTTTTTTGTTTGTTTTTTTCACTTGTCACACTGGCCGCCTAACCTCGGAGCACATTCTATTAAACCTCATTGGAAAGATAAGAACTTTACTTCCGCGCTCTTTGGCCGCGTCTCGTTTTTTGCGAGGGATTTATCTTATCGGCGTAACCTATTCATGTCTCATTTTTGTTGAAATAATTATACCAGAAGTTTAATCTTAACAATTATGTTGTTT